ATGTGATTGATCTCTCTATATCTTACGACTGAGCTGATCATAATTACAGAAAATAACATCAAATAAATTTTTGGTCTAGATCAAACACCACCAAATGATCTTCAGCAAGGATAGCTAGAATGGATATTATCTCCAGTAATATTGGAACATTGACTGCAAACAGAGGAGATGGAACGGGACTTGCATTACCAGAATAATGCTGGTGTTGAGCTGCTGCCCCGGTGACACGATGCCAATGTCATTCAACATGTGGTGCTGGTGACGGTTGGGATGTTGACGGCAGCTGCCACATCCAGGCCGTTGGTGACGGGATGAGAGGATGTGTGCGGCATCATTGAACACGCAGAGTGCTACCACAAAATAGTTCATCAATCTAAATTATCCTGTCTAGAGCTAGCTCCGAATGTCCAGTCAATTGCATCTAAGGCGAGCAGTCTTACACCAACCTGAATATCATGGAAGAGGCGTCCACTGCTTCATCTCAAACTGCCTTTCGTTGCAGTCTGTTCTCTTCTCCTGCATGCATCCTTTCCCCCATCTCATATCTGGCCTTCTTACTTGTACCCACAGCCAGTCCCTGCCCACAACACCTTACTTCTCCTTCTCTCCCTGTCAGCACAAACACTGCAAGGATTTTAATATAAAAAATTGATTGGTTCAGCATAAATACATTTTTTGTTAATTCATCATAGTCAGAATATCCTCACTACTTCAATCAACCACTGAAACGGTACCATAAACATCACAAATTTGCAAATAAAAATTGGAAGGAAGGATAAGTGGAATACCAGTTGTGTGGCAGTGGAATAATTGATAGTTATGGACCAAGAATAATCCAAATCAACCTTCTATCGTTCGTCATGTTCATCTCTGAATCCGTACACCATCTAGTTTTCCAGACTGGGATCCTGAATAGAAAGACCAAACACACTAAAGCAAATCAACTAAAGGCGCAAAAATAAGTATGAGTCGGCTACTCAGAGTCAGAATTCAGAAAGTAACTCGTCTAGGGAATTTCAACGAACCTATAGACATGTTGTTTGATTTAGCACCTAAATAATTGTCTCAATTAGAAAAAGACTTGCCACCAGGCTGTAAAGTGTAAACAATCCAAAGTCCATACACGCCACTCAAAGGTTTGGGCGTCACACTGACCGGTGGCATCCAAAATTTGCAGAGAACAAGAAGTTCGCAAAATACTGTTTAATGGAAATCAACGTCCATGGAAGCCTGATTACTTCAAAGTATGAATTAGTTCTACTATTTGAAATCAACATACATGGTTTAAAAGGAGGGCTTGCCTCGCTGCCGACCACAACAGATGTACGTAGCCATTGTCAATTGTCGAGCTAGAGTGGGGCACCGGTTGTAGGTGCAGCTGACAGATAGGGAACAGGAGAAGAATGGAATGATGATGGAGGGAGGCACCTTGTTGCAGTACACCGCCTAATATAAAGCCTCTCACTGACTTATTACTTGAATATGTGTTTGATTTGCGCAATTGCCTCTTTGCATGCTTGTGCTGCAATTTGTTTTTCTGGTTTTGTACAATCAGTGACTTTCTGCAGTCTCAGTTTGTTTGCATGACACAGCTGCATGATTGCTGCTACTTGGCTTCTCCTCCCCAAGTCGTAAGATCAGTAAGCGGCAACATAAAAAAATCAGAAAATACCCTGATAAGTAGTTACAGATTGAACATGACATTTGTTAAGGATGATTACATGGGAAAGCATGTATATGAGTAAGAAGACATAGATATAGATGTAAGGGGGACATAAAATGCACCACGGGAGTAATTCAGAGCATAGAGTAATTTAGGATTGAATAAATGATGTGTACAACTATCTCTAGGCTTAGAAGGGAATTATTATAGATCATTGTTGTGCAGGCAAATGTTCAAGACCTCAGAATACAGAACAATATTAGAACTCAAAAGCTTGGAGAAATGAAATATTAGGACTCAAGCATTAAAATGAAGCCCAGCTGGCATAAAATTCACAGGGAGAGGAGTTTATACTTCACTACATCATGTAGTTACCTTGATTCACCTCACATGCAGCCTGCTTGGATATCTTATCAAAGACACCCTTGTCGACATGACACATAAAAGGTCTTCAGAATTAACATGAGAGATGGAGATGGTTAAGTTAGCATATGGTAATAATAAGGGTAAATCAAGAATCAATGTCCAAAATGAATGTAGATGAACCGCAGCAACATTAATCGCTTAGTCAAGTCTGTACCTATCCTGTGAAGAGGACCTGCACTTTTTATCCTCCTTCTCTCCCTACAAGAAAAAATATCACCATGATGTAATCAGAATTTTGTGCCATATTTAAAAGAAAACTTATTTGGAGTTTTTTTTTTGCAAAAAAAAGAGAATTCATTACTTAACCATGGGGATTATTGCAATCGTTCTGATACAACAAATGAATCTCTTGAGGAACAGACCTCATATTTGGAGTTAACTTATAGCCATAAGCATAAGAAAAATGAAAATAAATAAATATTAGGAAGGCCATCACCCAGGGTGATCTTTGTGGATACCGAGGATAGTTTTGTGTCAGTCGCATCGCGCGGAATTAACTCGAGTGAAGTCATGGAGGGGTGGAGCATAATCCATATCAGCCGTCTACAAGATGTGGTCTACACATCTGTCTGCACAAGAACAAATCGACCGAGGCAAAACGACTCAAGGGAAAGGAAACTTGCTGAGCATGAAGCATCAACCCGATGAAGCAGATGTAACTTGCTGAATTGTTTATGTAGCCATCGTATCAACGATACAAAATTGGCTACCCCAATCCCATAGGTTCAAACGTTCAAGAAGATTTCATAGGTTGTAACTACCCTGATCTGACAGGTTACAAATTCAGCAATATTTCAAAGGTTGAAATAGTAGGCCATCCATCAACAGGATTAAAAAAAATCAAGTCTTCTCAATTAGAGTTGGATTCAAATTTTATACTCGACATCTGTCTATTAGATAGAAGACCAAATAATTAAGCTACCAACAACCAAACTCACAAGTTTGTTCACCCAGGAACTGTGAACCACACAACCAAACAGATTCTGAAATCTTTGGAATTTCTTAACAAACCCCAGCAAATAAATCGTTAAAGAATGCATCCTACCGAGATATAAGAGGGAGAGGACTTTACCAGCAAATATTCGCTGAGGTTCAGATTTGTTTTGTTGTGTGTCCCGCACCAGCGATGTAATGGGCTTGGCGAACATTAAGATGCAGGCACAAATCCTCCTCGAAGGCAGCTACGGTGACCGTTCAGGCACGACAACTCCGCACATCTTCGAAGAGCGTGGTGGCATCCTCCTCCCTGGCACACGCGTGTCCGGTCCTCCCTTAACACACACCTGGTGACGGCTGAAGCAGAAGGAAGGCACAATCAGTGGAGCAATCTGACGGAATGAATGGAGCAATCTGGAGTGGGTTCGTGGAGAAAGGGTTGGATGCCTGGATCTTGTATGGGCGGCGGGCGGCGAACAGCGCGACGACGACCTGTGGCGGCTCCCGCGGGGCGGCGACCTGCGGCGGGCGGCTCCCGCGGCGCGCGACGGGTGGCGACCCGCGGCGGGCGGCTCACGCGGCGAACAGCGCGACGGCGCTGCGGCGAACGGCTCCCGCGGGGCACGACGGGCGGCGACCTGCGGCGGGCGGCTCACGCAGCGAACGACGCGACGGTGCGACAGCGAACTGCGCGGGAGGAGGAGGAGGGGGCGAGAGGTCGTCCGGGCGAGGCGAGAGGTCGTGCGAACGGTTTTTGTTTTTGAACGGGGGCGCGGGTGGCTTAATTGCGTGGTTTGTTGGATTAAACACGAAATGATTACAGACCATCGGATTTTGTCTATGGACGCGCCTAATTGTTTGAATTTGCCGCTTTCTTTCTTTTATAGTGGTAGTAGAGTAGTAGATATAAATTTTTATTCTTTTTAACAAAACAAGATCATCAATTTTTAGCAAAAAAAAAATCATTGATTTTTGGGAAAAAGGTTATTTTGAAATAAGTTCACCAATTTTGAAAAAGGTTCACCTATTTGGAAAAGAGTTCACTGGTTTTGAAAAAAGTTCATCGATTTCAAAAAACAGTTCACCGGTTTTGAAAAAGAGTTCCTCGTTTTGAAAAAAAGTTCATGGATTGTGAAAAGAGTTCATCGGTTTAGAAAAAAAAGTTCATCAATTTTGGAAAAAGTTCATCGATTCTGAAAAAAGTTCATCGATTCTGAAAAAAAGTTCATGGATTGTGATAGGAGTTCACCGGTTTTGAAAAAAAGTTCATCGGTTTAGAAAAAAAGTTCATCGATTTACAAAAAAGTTCATCGATTCTGAAAAATAGTTCATCGACTGTGAAAGAAAGTTCACCGATTGTGAAAGAAAGTTCACCGATTTTGGAAAAGAGTTCAATGATTTTGAAAAAAAATGTTCTTTCATATTAGCAAAAGAAAACAGAAAAAACGTTCCGAAAAGAAAGAAAAAGAAAAAGAACAAAAAACATAACAAAACCGTTCCGAATAAAAAGAAAAAAGAAATAGGAAAAAGGAATCGTTATAAGAAGAAAATGGCGAAGAAGCAGTAGAGAAGCAACTATTTTTTTGTCTTTCTCAAGACAGGAAGGAAAGGAGAAGATGGGCCAGGCCCAGCTAACGCGGTTACAGGCGCCGGTTTGCGGAAACAGCTGTAACCGGCGCCTGCAACGCTAAATAGGATATGCCTCGCTTTCAAAAAAAAAAAGGATATGCCTCAGTTTCAGATTCCAGCAGCGTGGCTTTGTCGAGAGCTTGGGTCGAAATGGCCCAATTACAAGATTCGCGACTGTCTCTATAGTTGGGCTACCCTCCCGGCCCAGTTACTCGGCCCGCACTCCCTACTTCCTTCTCAAGCCAAGCCGAACTCCTCCTCTTCTTCCTCCGCTCGTCCTCCCAAACCCGCGCCGCGAATCTGCTGCCGCCGCTGCGTCCGTCTCGGTTTTGCGCCGCCGGTGAAGATGTTGTCGAGGATCTCCCGCCTCGGCGTCCACGCCCTGAGCCGGGCGAGGCTAGGTAAGCTCTCCTCCCTCTCCACCGTCGCCCCTCGAATTCACGATTTCATTTACCTCTGCTGCGTTGCTGTTTTATTTGGATGTCTCGGTTAGGACTAGAGGGCATCGAGCGCGTGATTCTGATTCCTGAGTTGCTCGGAAGTACTCCTTGGGTGTACCTGGTGGTCACCTGGGGGTGGCCTGCCAAATTTGTGCTCAGCCCAACGTCCTACGGCCCCGGTTGTTAATTCCAGGCCATCCGGATGCAGTGACGTGCCTAGTTTCAGGTTTCTGGATGTGGTCAGGCTGATGATTAGTTCATTGACATCTGGGAGCAAATGCGAGGTGCTTTGATGAAGTAGCAGCAGCAGCACCTGTTGGTTGTTGTCACGCTGATTTCCTGCTATTTGGTCACGCAGAGCTATATCTGGTAGTTGGCAAGGATGCACTAGTTATGCTCAGTTTTCCATGGCTTAAACGTTACAATAACATTTATGTGTTTTTTAAGGTGATGCATACTATTCATTATCCAAGCTGTTCCCCTTTTTATGTTTAGATTCACATTTTGGAAGAAATGTATGTTTAGTTATTCTTGGTATGTGAGCCTAATGTCTGATAACTCCGGTGCACCGTACCATAGTAAGGTTGTGGTTGTTTGAACTAGACACTCTGGTATCTAAGTTCATTAGGATTTTTTTATCCGGAAGTTCTTCTGGCCAAGTCATCCCTTGATGAGTCAAATACCCTTCACCCCTTTGATATTTTTGACTAGTGCTTTAAGTAAATTTTAAGAGGATACATTCTTTAGACTGGCATGCTTGTCGGTTTGTTGTGATCATCTTCCCTTTCTCTATGTCCACTGAATTATTCTGACATTTATCAGGTCAAAAGTCAGTAAATTCAAGGAATCAGGAAGAACCAATTAGAGCTTGTATGAACTATGTGGTCAGCTCTCTCTCTCTCTCTCTCTCTCTCTCTCTCTCTCTCTCTCAAATGTTGCATTGTTCACTTGTCTACATTTGCTGCCAACTTATACAAATGAGTTTCCCTGGTTGTTGGAGTTGTCGTTTGCTAGGCCTCCAAGCATTTTTTTACAGGGAATTTCTTCGAGCAATCCTAACTGTACCGTTAACCTGCAGAACTTACATCTTTGCTTCGGTACACCCCCCTTAAAACTTTGCACAAATCTTAAAGTTACTTAAAAAGGCTATCATCATATTAGTTTCACAGTTTGCAGATCAAACGTATTGAATAGATTGATTTGGATACAAAAGACTATATTATCCTTTTTCATATCAAGGTTACCTTCTAATCTCCACCTTTAATCTGCATCGAAGTCCATAAACTTTTCTAGGGGGGTGTACCGAAGCAAAGTTGACTCTATATAGTTTTCATACTATCAGATATCGATGTCTGAAAAGTTGTGCAGATGTATAGATCTCGTGTCTGTGCCTAACTTTTTTTAAATTTATTTAAAATGAAAAAGATAATGTAGAGAAACTGGAATAACTTAGTTCAAAGATGGAATAACAAATGGAACTCTTTTCAGGGTAATCATTCTCTATGTTCCGCCACGGGAGCTAAAGTCAGTGACAGGAGCGAACAGCCAAAAGCTAAGTAAGTCTTTTTACTGTTGATGCCTAGCCAGTCAGCTTTTACTTACTTACTGTTGGGCGTAGCATAAATACTAAAATGTTTTCATGTATGCTCAATATTTTCAAATCAGCAGTACAGACTATTGTGTCACACCAATATTAATATTTACTGATCTATCTCTGCGTCAGCAAGGATTCAGAATAATAACCAAAGCTCATGGAAGCAACCCTATGGTCCTTGGATGAATTTCTTAGCTGTTTATAAAAGCTTCTAATGGCTCATTGGCTCTGCGAGACCAACACAATAAACCTTACTTACCACTTTTGACGACTAACTGAATACAGGCAGTTCAACAATGATACAGTTAGACTGTAACTGTTGGAGCACCAGGACGGACTAGGATTACATGAATATAAGTACGCCCACCAAAATAGATGGTCATAATGAGTCTGATTAAAAAAGATTACCAATTTAAGCTATGCATGGAAAATTATTATTTTGTAAAGGATTAGAGAGAGCACATTAGGTTGGTGAATTAAGCCTTCATAGTGATGTTTGCCCTTGCTGCTAAACCATTTGATGGTTGAAACTATCGGCAAATAATTTGGCAACGGACTTCCGTTGTCATTTCACTTTGTGGCAGGTTGATGTGGACTGATGCCGTTATCCCGTTTGTGGCATGACATATTTTCTAAAATAGAACGTTCAGATGCTATAAAAATGTTTCTTCACTTAGGCCCCTTTTGCACTTGGGTAGTCATAGTCTCTGCAAGACAGCTGATTAGAGAAGCAAATAAAACTAGTGAAATGCCCCCATATCGCTAGGGAAGTAATAATAAGAAAATAAATTGAATCATGTAAAACTAGCTAAATGCACCGGTATTGCTACAGAAGTAGTAATAATCAAAACATATCAAATCATATCATATGTGGCACATCAATCTCCATAGAGATACCCCACTTGTCTGGAGGGAAAGTGGGATGGCAGTCGGGCCATCATCACCAACTCCAAAATGTGTAGGAGTAAGGTAAAGATAGATATGGCAGGTCTTCCAAACTGTTCCATTTCAAGCGTAACATACAACAGAATATATGGAGGAAAACACGATATACATGAATACATGATCCAACAGCCAACAACATGTCCAGCACACAGGCTGACTACAAGATGGAGCAAAAAAAGGAATTGGTAGATCCACTCATTGAATTATTATGAATAGTAAAGAGGCCTTTAAGTTCAATTCCTGTTCCAAAAATGATTTTGGAAATTCCTGGAAGTACTTAAATGGCGTAACATTTGTCCACCTAGAAGCCATCCACCTGACTTAACATGGTTTTTGGGCCCCTCTCTGATTGGTGCTGTTGTCTTCCACTATTCTTAAAAGCAGCATTCCTACAAGCTGCAGTATGTCCATTCCTGTATTCCATAGCTTGTACTATGTGGGTGTAACTGATCCTCGCTAAAGAACACA